GGGGTTGGGGGGTGAGAGACATTCCCACGGAGTTCCCAACTGGTCAGCGCCTATTTTCCTCCCTGAGCTCTGGGCCCATCCCTCTCTCCTCTATGGTTAAAGGCCCGTTGCCAGTGTCTTCTGAGCTTGCAGACGGCGTGGGTTTTCTGCAGACAGAGGAACCGCAGAGCTGGGTTCGAGGTTTAACTGCTCCTTTCTGATCCCCATCTGTGAAATGGGTAAAATCGACTCTGCAGGGTGGTGTGCAGGATGAGACAGCATGATGCCTCTGGGTCCTTTGGCAGGTATCTGCGAAGCACCCACTACGTGCTGGCACTGGGGGAGGCACTGGGGATGCTGCAGCATGATGGCAGCCAGAGGGTGTGGTGGGCAGGGGCTCTGTGATCTGGGACAGTTGCATCCTGCCTTGGAACCTCGGCATGTAGCAGGGGGGCAGTAGAGGAGGGAGGTGAGGCTGGGGACTCTGGAACTTGCGTACCTGGTCCACATCCAGGCTTGTCACGCAGTGGCGGTGGGACCTTGGGGAGCCATGTTTCACTGGGTTGGGGCGGGGTAGCCGAGGGACAGGGCTCAAACAGTGCCGGCACAGGGGCGGTGCTCAGTCAGGCGAGGTTGTTGCTACTCTCCAAAGCTTGCCTTGCTTCGACTGCTCCACGGAGCTGCTCAGAGGATAGATAGATGCCAGGGATTATCAGGTTATATTCTGGGGAGATCCAGGGACCCGCAGGTGTCCCATCAGCCATCTGATGCAGGGTGGGCTGGACAACTTTGCAGAACCTTTCACACTCGGCAAAGCCTCCCTTCTCTTGCCTCCGAAGCATAATTTCTCCGCTTACTCGCTCCTGCTCACACATGCCCGTGAGCATTGGAAGCACCCGTCACATTTATTTTTGTCTTTAATTTTTTTTTTAATTAATGAGAGAGAGAGAGAGAGAGAGAGAGAGAGAGAGAGAGAGAGAGAGAGAGAGAGAGAGAATTTGTTCTTCCTCTTATTTATGCATTCATTGGCTGTTTCTTATACGTGCCCTGAACGGGGAATCAACCTGCAACCTTGGTGTATCCGGGCACCCATCACATTTTTATTATCTGCTCAGACCTTGATTTTCTGATAGAGTGTGGCCTGCCCAGGGCAAGCACCACATCTGTCTTATTCTCTGATCATCCTTAGAGCCTTGCATGGTTCACGAGCAGGTCAATGTGTGTTTGTTGACTGACTAACTGACTGACAGGCTGACCCACCACCTGAAGTTGCTCTGTGAAGTCATACTCTATCCTATGCCTTCCTGCTGTGGCTCAGGTGATGGCATCTTGGAACCAGACCCCTGGGTTCGAATCACAGCTACGCCATGGCCTAGCTTGGGCTTGTTTCTCGAGGCTGTGAAATGAGCATTCTGTTGCAAGATTGAGGCCACTGTGTATGTATGTAGAGCGATGTCTCTGACTAGTGAGTCACATCAAGGTCACTTACTCTCGTACTCATTGCTGCCCTGTGACGTGCCAGGCAATGACTGGGACAATGGAGTCTGGTTCTGGCTCTCCTCTGACTCTCTGGGCGATGTTGGGGATACCGCCTCACCTGCTCTGGGCCTCAGTGTCCCCACTGGTGACTAAAGGGCTCTGAGGAGATAAACTTCAGAGGCCCTTCCATTTAGACTCTCTAAGAACCTGTGTTTGAGCCTCTCCAGTCCTGGGAGTGTCCACAATACTGGGGAGCCCGTGGGAGGTGCCGCTTCCTGGACCATCCCAGACTCTGATGCCCTTGGTGCAGCCGGGTCCTGGCTCCTCTGGGCGAGGGATTGGGGTAAAGAGCCAAGCTGAGGATGCCCTTTCCTGTCTTGTTCTGGAAGCACGAGTTTGGTCGGGCCCTTATAGGACTAGATGAAGATGTGTAGGGCTGTGGTTGAGAGCCCAGCAGGGCTCTGCAGCCAGATTACCTGGTTCAAATTCATTTGCTTATTAGCCACCAAGTGACCCTCGGCATGTTTTTTAACCTCCCTGGGCCTGTTTCCTCATCTATAAAATAGGGCAATAATGTACAAACTTGTTGAATAGCCTGTATTAATTAACTTAGTAAAGTGGGAAGACCAAGGACTGACACATAGGAGGCCCTCAAAAAGTTAGGCATTTTCCAACCTTTGAGGATCTGGGCATTCAGGGGGGAAAAAAATCAACTCCTAAATTTTACCAGCCTTCCCTCCTACAAGGCCAGTCTGTCCCAGTTTACAAAGTCCTTCTGGTCCACCATGTGCAGGCTGTACCGAGATGAGGAAACCCAAGGCCCAGAGATGGGCAGACACCCACCCCAGGTCACACAGAAGCAGAGGCCAAGCTAGACCAGGCCAGGTCTCCTGCCTTTCAGCCAGTTCACCCTCAGTGCCTCCTGGGTTTCCAAGCCCTGCTGGCCTGCCCTCTGACCCTGGCCCCCTGGGAGCCTGATCCCAGGCCCATGGGGCCTGTAAGTCTGGTCTGAATTAGACACGCCGAGAAGCAAAAGTTGGCCCCCCTCAGCAGGCTGCCTGGTGGGACCCGGGCTCACAGCTGCTGAGGCTCACAGGGACATAAATCATGGTGGCAGGAGGCTTGGGGGCTGGGAACACCTTAGCCTCTCAAAGGGCACAGGGGCCTGAGAGTCATGGGCAGGGGTGCCTGGGTCCACTGAGGGTATTTTCCATCCTCTGTTGGAGCAGCTGAGGTGAGGAAGAGTCAGAGGGGGCCAGGATACCATCTGGCAGGCCTTACATCCGAGCGGGCCAAAATCTCGACCTCAACTCTTCATTCTGCAATCATTTATACACATACAGAGAAGTGACAAAAGTCATACAGAGAACTCCCATATACTCTTTACCTGGATTCAACAAGTTTTAACCGTGGGTCATATTTGCTTTATCCTGCTCTTACTCACACCTTTTTTTTTCCTGAACCATTTGAGAGTACGTCACCTCCATCACGTTCCTCTAGCCCTTCATAATACTTCAGGGTGTATTTCTTAAGCACAAGGAGACCTTCTTACATAGTCATACTATTAGCAAATTCAGAAAATGTAACATTGAACAGACTTTTATCTATTGTTCTGATCTCAATTTTGTCAACTACCCAGTAATGTTCTCTATAGCAATTTCTCGCTGCCGTACAGGATCTAGTCCAGGGCATGTAATGCATTTTGCTGTCCAGGTCTAGATTTTTGATGTCATGTCCACATGAAGGAAAACCCGCAGACAGGATTGAATAAAGACGTACAACTTTACATGGATGTCCTAATGTGTTTGTAAATCCTCGACTTAACGTTCTCATGGTAATGCCTTGTACTTGTGACTGTGTATGGATGTTTAAGAGTTAACTTGCCAAATATGCCAGTTTTCAGAATTCTGTTTTGCGTGTGTGTGTGTGTGTGTGTGTGTGTGTGTGTGTGTGTTTAATCTAATAGGAGCCTAATAAAATGGAAGTGGCTTGGGCCAATGAGGGGAATTAAATGAGATGGAGAAGCCCTGGTCTGGAGGAAGGGGCCCTGCATTCTTAGCTCTGCTCAGCTCCAAATGCTGTGTGACCATGGCCCATTGCTGTCCTTCTCTGGGCTTTGGTTTCCCCATTGCCATGAGCGATCTGTGAGGTCTTCCTACGTGCAATTGTGGACTTAGGGAAGGGAGCCCTGTGTACTCCCTTACAGGAGGGAGACCTGAGTTCCCGGAGGCCCAGCAGGTTGCTTCCTCTGTATTGGCTAAGTCTCCTCATTGTAAAATGATGAACTCTAGATCATTCTTGCTCATGCTAATGCCCCTCGTTGGAGTGGAAGATGTGACCTGGCATTTGCAGCCTCCTCTTCAGGGTCCCAGTGACGTGGCTGAAGTTGGTCATCCACTCCCTCCACCCTGAGTTTCTTTTCCCTGAGCTCCTTTACTCCTCTGGCTCTAAAATACCCTCACTCAGGGAGCCTGGAGGAGCCTGGCTGGGCTGGCCTATCCTGAAGGCAAAAAGTGTGTGTTGGGGGCAGGGGTGTTAGCCAAATGGCCCCAGAGGTCCTGGTCCGCAGCTGTCCTCTCTCAAGCCACATGTGTTGGGCTGGCCTTGCTGCACACAAAGGCTCGTAGACATTAACTGTCTCTTACCCAGGAACTCAAGGAAGATAGCAAGCTGCGAAATGTGCAGAGTGGAACACTATGCAGCTGGGAAAAGTGTGAAGCAGCCCTTTTAACACCGAAGAGTCTCCAAGATGTATTGTTAAGAAAGAAGTAGAACAGTGTGTAAAATGTTATAACTTGTGTGAAAAAAAAAAATGTTTTGACTTGCGTGTATCTGTGAAGACTATCTGGCCGGGAATCCCCAAGACCCTGGTTAAGTAATTCCCTCTGAGAGTTGGAACTGAGTGGGTGGGAGGGAAGTTCATTCGCTATTGTGTCTTCTGAACTGTGAACTCCGCAAATGTATTATCTACTTCAAAGGAAATACAATGTAAAGAACCCAGTCTGAGCGGAGGAGTGCAAGCGGGGCCCCTGGGATGCTGTGGACAGCATTCCTGGATGTGCATGCTGGGTGTACAGGTGCCACAGCTTGTGAAAACTCGCCGCACTGTACCTTTAATGGCATGTGCACTTTCCTGCCTGCATGATACACTTTGATAGAAAGTTTTAACTGAATATGCTGTGAATGATTGTGTATGTTGCACAAAAACTCTGCAGGCTTAGTGTTAACTGCTTACCTTTGGGATGGGTGATAGCTCTAGGGTGGTGGTTCTCAACCTTCTGGCCCTTTAAATACAGTTCCTCATGTTGTGACCCAACCATAAAATTATTTTCGTTGCTACTTCATAACTGTAATGTTGCTACTGTTATGAATCGTAATGTAAATATCTGATATGCAGGATGGTCTTAGGCGACCCCTGTGAAAGGGTCGTTCGACTGCCAAAGGGGTCGCGACCCACAGGTTGAGAACCGCTGCTCTAGGGTCTTGTAGCATTTGATTTTTTTTTTTCTTTTTACAATGAAAACCTACAAATACTCTTTCAGAAACAGTCATCGGTATAGAGCCTTTCCGGAAGGACACACAGGAAACGGCCAGAGAGCAGTTGCCTTTGGGAAGGAGCCTGAGGGAGTAAGTACTTTTCACTGCATATTATTAGGGACAATTTGAATTATTTGCCCAGGGTATAAATGGTCTATTAAAACTATCTGACAAGGCAAAACAAATACTTATCATTTTGTCCCATCTGTTTTTTGCTGGTTAGAGATCAGGCCAAGGAGTCCCAGAGGGGTCAAGCAACTTTTCTGAGGTCACCCAGCAAATCTGGTGGCAACAGTGGGCCTCCAGCCCAGAGCACCCAAGTGCCTGCTCTGCTCCCCACTCCCAGGTTTCCTGCCATTGACGAGGTCACAGTCCTTTTCCTGTGGCTTTGCCAGGGGCTGCCTGGACCTGGACCCGGGTATGCGCAGGGAGTGCAATGTGCTTTCCTAATTAGCTCCCGCAGGGGGAAGCGCAACTGGATGGGAACATTAGTGTCCCTGGAACACTGGGGAAGCAAGGTAGAGGGCACTTGGAAAGCTGTCCTGGGCAGGACGCAGGTCCCTTGGGGCCCTCCTTCCTCTACTCCTTATACCAAAGGGATTAAATATAGTGGTTTCGTGGCATCCTCCAGCCTGAACTGGCAACTCCAGCGACCCCTTTGGTCTCCTGGGGTCTTGGTTTGTCTGTGAGGCAGCTGTCCTGTGGTGTCTGGCACAGTGAGGGTGCTGGGTAGTGCTTGTTGATCTACAAAAAGGGCAGCTCACTTCAGGCTCAGGCAGAGGGCAAGTAGGGGGTGGCAGAGAGGATATGAGCGTGGACTTTGGAGCCAGACTTCAGTGGGTAAACAATGAAAGTGTTTGCTAAATAAATATAAACAATAGGCATATGAGCATACCTTTAGGAGAGGGCGCTGCCTGGCTCTGCAGCCTCTCCCAGCTCCTCTGCCTCCTGGCTTCTCTGATCCTGGCCGCACAGGGACAGAGCCTCAGCTGGAGAGCCAAGAACTCTGGGCTCCACTAGCCAGCTGTCCCCATCCCGGTCACAGCCGGACCTGTGAAATGGGGAAACACCAGCCTCCACCTCCCGGGGCTGCTGGGAGAACTGGGGACACAGGAGCTGGCACTGCATCTGGGGCGTCTCCAGCAGGGGAGGGGCTTTAAAGGTGGACAGATATCACATTGTCACCCTGCCACATGCCAGCCATGTACCTTTAGGCACCATAATTCCTCCAATCTCAATTAAAACAGGGGTAAGAATACTTCCTTTTAGTATACGTGGAAAACTGCGTGCCTACACAGCTGTTTGTCAAGACAGGAACAGGAGATGGGTTCAAGTACAGGCATACCTCGCTGTATTAACCTCACTTTATAGCGCTTCACAGATGTTTTTTTAAGGCAAAAACCTTCCACCAGCAAAAAGATGACGACGCGCTTTATCGCGATACTTGCTTTATTGTGGTGGTCTGGAACCGAATGTGCAATATCACCGAGGTATGCCTGCATCGTACATTCATAAAGTGCAATAAGCAGTCACTAAAGGAATAAGGGGACCCTTTACCTCTGTGATCTGATTTGAGATGACAGCCAAGTTAGATGAAAACAAAACAAAAAAGCAAGGAGCAGAAAGCATGTGTAACATGCTACCGTTTGTATAAAGAGTGGAAGAAAAAAGGTATTTTTTCCCTGTATTTGCTTGGTTATTCACGGGAAATGGGTATCATAACTGGTGGCTGAGGCTGCTGGCAGAGAGAAGTGGTAGGTGGATAGGTATCTGCTGGAGATACCCTTTGGCACTGACAATCTTTGTATTCACTATATACCTTCTTGTACCTTTTGAATTTTGAACCATATGAATGAATATATTCCTTATTAAAAAATGAATACAATTAAGATTTCTTTACCAACCACAACAGGTATTCAAGAAGACTCTGAGGAAAGTTTAGTTATCCCGACTTCTGGGGTCTTCCTGCATTCTCCCAACCCATTCCCTCCAGGGCACAGGGCAGCATTGGTGACATCGGTGCCTCTGCCAAGGTCTAGGAGAAGGGTCACCTCTGACCGCCGATGTCCCCAGACCCTTCCCTTCCTCAGCTGGGAACATCCTTTATTTAAAAATACCTTTTATTTAAACCCACCAATTCTCTCTCTCTCTCTCTCACACACACACACATTTACATACTCACTCACTCATGCACACACCCTCTGTCACCAACAATCTGTTTTTCCAAAAGTTCTGCCTTGTCTTTGACCAGCCAGGGCTGGGGCCAGCTGGATAGGTCTTCACAGCTCTCCACGGTGGGGTAGAGATGTCCCAGGGGGCCTGTCCAAAGGGTCACGGGCCCAAGCCATTGTCCTCTGGTCCCTATACAATCGAGGGGTAGGATCAGCTCCTGGGGCTTCTCCCCTGGTCAACCCGTGGCTGGCCTCTGGCTTCCTTCTCCAGGTCCTGCTTGGAGCAAATGCCACCGGGGTCCAGGCTCATCTCCGTGGCACTCGCAGGGGGGCCACCCCCCTCACCTTCAAGCAGCTGCCTCCCAGGTCACGACGGCCGCTCTACAGGAGGGAGAAAGAAGTGTTAGGAAGCTGGATCAGATCACAATGAACGCGGGAACTAACCTCTGCGTCCAGTAATACAGGACTTAATAAATACATCACAGCCACGCGATAAAGTTCTCTGCAGCATAAGGCAGAAGAAACTTTTTATGAACTGCTGTGGAATGATGTCGAGATAACATTATTTAAGGACAAAAGCACACAGAAACCTGTGTGCTGAAATGTCGAGAGAGAGAAGGGCACATAAGAAATTGCTAATAGATTTCCTCAGAGAAGAGGAATTTGATGGTGGGGAGACGGAATGGGAGAGGCATTTTTACCTTCCTCATTTCTTCCCTACGTGGTCAGTTGCTTTTTAAAAAGAATCCAATACATTTAAATATTTTACATTAAAGGGCAAAACAAAACCCACAGTGATGTTATCCCCAGTGCCTGGCTATATGCCCAATGGCTTACTCATTGACCTCAAAAGGAGACTATGGATTCCTCCTCCAGCCTTCATTCAGTGTGTTCCCTCTGCCAGGAAATATGCTCTCTGCTCCTGTCTCCCTGGGAAGGTTTCTCTATTCCTGCAACTGGCTAGCACTTCCTGCCTTTCCGGGGACATTTCACCAGGATATCTCAGAAGGGGGATGACTGGGTTTCTCTTTGTCTCCATCAGGCTGGGAGCTCGGGGAATGTTCTTCATTCTGTGACCCCAGTTCCAGCCCAGGACCTGGCATGTAGCAGGTGCCGAGTGATGTTGCTTGAATCAGTGGTAACCATCGGGAGACGAGCTAATGGTAGCAGCACTGGGGCCACCAGCCCTTCACCCCACAAGGGCATTTTCTACCCAATATCCTGAGGTCTGACACGTGGGTTTCATCCTCACTGTAAAGCTAGCGAGATCACAGACATTAAAGGTCTCCAGCTGTTGAGTGACTGGCCCAGAGGCACCCAGCCAGTTGGTAAAAGAGCTGGGCTGGAAATGCATGTTGTCCAACAGTCTGTCTTGTTTCCAGGACGTGATGGTGTCTGAAATCCCACTGTACATTCTCACCCTCTGTGCTTCACTAGGAGGTGATGGGACAGGCATCTTTCTCAGGCATCTAGAGAAAGAGCTGACCATCTGGGAGCTCTGCCCCCTGCTCCCCTCCGCCCTTGGGCCCAGGTTGGGGCAGATCCATCCAGATGTGAGCCAAGCCTCCCTTGAGGCTCTCTGGGCCCAGGGACAGCGTGTTCATTCACAGGCAGGGCTATTTTGAGGGCTGAGGCCACAGTCCCAGCAGAGCCTGGGGCTTGGGCTTCTCAGACAAACTCTGGCAGGAGTGTCGGAGAAGGGGGGATGGGGTAGGAGGAGGGTTTAGTGTTGAGGATGGGGATGGAAAACCAGCCTCCCACCCTTTCATCTATGTCTTCAGGAAGAGCCATCTCCACCCCGAGTCTGGTGGTCACTGAGAGACCTCAGTCCCATGAGAATGCTGGGACTGAACCTCAGTTTCTTCATCTATGAAATGGGGACAAAATTACTCTTACTTGCCAATGCAGCTGTGGAAGAAGCTTGTAAACTGCCAAAAGCACTTGAAGAGGCCCTGACTAGGCCTAGCTTCTATGTCTCTTAGGAACTCAGCGCCAAGGGCTCTGGGAAGCACCGTGGTTAGGAAGTGGGTTCCAGTGAGACAGATCTGAGCTTCAATCTCTGCTATGCCTTGGACTACCTGTTGGACCTCAGACAAATGACTTCACCTCATTGAGTCTCTGTTCCCCATGTGTAAAGTGGAGTTACTGTGCCGACTACACACATTAACCCTGATAAAGTCCTAAGCACGGTGTCAGGAACACAGTAAGTGTTCAGTGTTCACAAGTATTATCAACATCATCTGGTAATGGCACCTCCTCACCCTAAAGCCCTTGGTGCCACTTCTGCTCCATAGCTGAGACCATCAACTGGGGAGGGCCTTATAAGACAGTCCTATCCCACCCTCACCCCCTAGGTGATAAAAGGGGAAACAGCATAGAGACAAGAACTCCCTTTCTATCTCACAACTGTTACTTCTACCACAGAAGGCCTCCAGGGAACTGTTTCCATGGTGACCTCAACACCAGACCAGCCAGTGAAGGGATAGATAGGGTCTGGAGTCTTAGAGCTCTCTGGCCCCCCCAAAGCTCAGAAGGGAGCCTCCAGGAGTTCCCTAAGACAGGCCATTTCCTTCCAATCAAGTCTTTGAGGGGCCAAAGCTGGCCAGGATGGCCCCTTTCACCTATTCCCAGAGGAGCCTGTGGAGTTGAGAGCATGCTTTCTGTAGCCAAATTTGGCTGGGTTCTTGGTCCTGTAACAGATCCCAAGGAAGCAGCCAGACCCAGGCAAGGGTTCATGACCTGTGGGACAGACCTGAGACCAACTTACCTACGATGGGCGCATGATAGACACACCTTTTCCCCTAGGCCTGCAGTTACAGGTCCTCCCACACTAACTTTTTCCACGTCCCAATCACCCAGGCCTGAGTTCGAATCCTGGCTCCATCATGGGCCGTGTATATGAACCAGTGACAGCATCTCTAAGCAGGTGTGGATAACCAGAGCACCTCCTTTTCAGGCTGCCAAGGAGTGATAACCCGTGGCGAGTGCTTAGCACAGCAGATCAATGCTCAGCAAGACCGCTGTCACTGGCCAATCTCTGCCTCTCCTCTCTGTTCCACCACCTTCAACGTCTCCCCTGTTCCTTCTATAGGTCTAGGTCCAACTCGTGCTGTGCCCTGCTTCCAGAACACCTGTCCGTACTCCCTTATCTGCTTGACTTCATTCCCAGGCGTCCACCAGGAACTGAGCCCACTGGTTGTGGGCTACCTCTGGGCTCTGACAGTCCTGTTGTCTCTCCCCCTCCCCACCCTCAGGCCACAGCATCCCTGTCCTCATCTCCTTGCCCTTGGCCCTGACACCACACCAGGAGTCCTGACTGGTGAGTGAGGGTCCACAGCCTGCCTCTTTGGGAATGTTCTCAGAGCTGACAAAAGGCGGCTGTTGGGTAGTTAAGGTTTGCTGAACGACGACGGGACACAGCAGCGTGAAAGGCAGTCAGGGAGTATCACGGAGGGCCCTCCACACCCAGGCTGGCTTTTGAAGGCCCACTCCAACTTCCCAACTCAGTCGGAAGCACTGACTGGGGCCCACAGCTGAGAGCAGCAGGGACCCTCAGGGAAACTGAGGCAGCCATGGGGGTTAGAGGCCAGAATGGGAGTCTGATGAGCCGGAAGAGGTGGTTTGAGGCCAGGACACTGCAGGGCAGCCATGAGAATCAAAGACTGGGGAACTCATGCCCTTTCACTTTTGAAAAGGCGATGGGCCATTCTCGGCCTCCATTTCCCCAGACGTACATGGTAGCGGCGGGACTCCAGAGGTGTCACACAGACCAGGGTCCTTAATGCAAGCATAGCCCAGGCCAGAAAGGGGAAAGGCCTGGGATGAAGCAGGCTCCTTGGGGCCTGGGCAGGAGAACTAGCTTTTAGCCATGAGAGCCCCCTGGCAACCTCTGCTGCTACCCAGCCCCATTCGTCACCACCAGCCTGCTTCTCATCCTTACCCAGGACAGAGCAGAGGAGCTTAATTCCAGCTCGGCCAAGCCGAGTCCACAGTGCCCTTGCCCAACACTGCGTCCCTTTTGGGGTTGGGTGCCCCCAGGAAACCCCCGTCTTCACTCCTACTGCTCATCAGCTGGGCACCGCAGGCTCTTGGTTGCAGGTATGCATCCCCTTCTCAGTCACCTGCCTTGGATCAGGTCTCTGGATAGGAGACAACTGTTGCAAGGTCAGGGTAGCTCAGGCAAGCTCAGAATCTGCCTTCTGGCTTCCCAGCTGCATAAGTGCTGGCATCCCTGCCTCACAGCTTCACAGGCAGGATCACTACCAGCCTGATGAAGTTCTTGTGAAGGTTAAAAAAAAATAAATCAGGAAAGCATCTGGTACATAGGAAGAGCTCAATAAATGATGGCCTTTGTTATTATTTCCTCATGCCCTCTTCCTAGCACACCTTTGGGTGGCGGGGGGGGGGGGGGTGTCCTTGGATGAATTTTTAATGCAATACCTGACTAATTAATCAGGGGCACTGAGCTCTTTCCTTTTAGATTGTCAAAAAATAACAGGCCTGGCTGGCATGGCTCAGTGGTTGAACACTGACCTATGAACCAGGAGGTCATGGTTAGATTCCCTGTCAGGGCATAGACCCAGGTTGCTCCATCCCCAGTGTGGTGCGTGCAGGAGGCGGCCAATCAATGATTCCCTCTCATTACTGATGTTCCTCTCTCTCTCTCCCTCTCCCTTCCTCTCTTAAGTCAACAACAACAAAAATATTTTTAAAATGACAACAGCCAACACAACAATAGCTGTCTGGTGTGAATGAATCAAAATTTGGTCAGATCAACAAAAAATATGTTTTGGTAATTAGCTTATGTGTGCCATGAGATGGAAATGTTGAAGATCACTGTTCTCAAGCCTGCGTGTGCTCTGGGCTTTCCTGCACCCCTTCTGACCGGAGACATTAAGCAAGTGGTTCTGTTCCATACCAAACCCTGGGCTTGGAGGACCACACGCCCGACGAACTCCACGTTCACTGGGGTCTCCGGCCCTCTTTTGCTCCGTAAGAAGCCCTGACCCCCATGACCTCCCGCCCGCACTTGGCCGCGCACTCACCCCCTTGCGCTGGTTGCTGAGGCAGAAGGTGCAGATGGAGCGTGGCTGGCGGCCGCCGTCGGAGCCGGCGGGGACCGCGCTCTTGGCACTGCCGGCCGCTCGGAAGCAGGGCTGCCCGTCGTCCGCCGCGTCGCCCAGCAGCAGCACGTTGGCCAAGTGCGCGATGTAGCTGGACGCCAGGCGCAAGGTCTCGATCTTGGACAACTTGCGGTCCACCGGCTCAGTGGGGATGAGCGTGCGGAGCGCTGTGAAGGCCGTGTTCACGCTCTGCGTGCGGTCCCGCTCCCGCGCGTTGGCTGCCTGCCGCTGTCGCACCACCACCACCGGGCCCGCGCCGCCGCCCGCTCGCCGGCCGCCCCCGGGGCCCGGGCCGCGCCGCGCCGCCTCCAGGCCCTCGCAACAGCCAAATGACTGGTCGGAGGCGTCGCTCTCGCTGCGGTTCTCCTCGTCCTCGCTCAGCAGCCGCACGTCCGGGTACAGCACGTGCGCGCCGACGGGGCGCAGCAGCGCGAACGCCATGGGCACCGGGCCGCGTTCCTCCGAGCGCTGCGTCCCAACCTCGGCCGCGCCCCGTCGTGCGCTCCCGCGCGCTCCCACGGCCCCGCCGGCCGCCGCCTTATAGCCGAGGGAGGGGCCAACCACGCGGCCGCCCCGGCCCGAGCGGGTGGGCTCCTTCCTGGCCAATGAGGACGCGCCCGCTGTGCCCCGGCCAATGGCGACTCGCCCGCCGCCCCCGTTCCCCAGGTTGAAAGCGTCCCGGGAGCTGGTGGCCCGCCCTGAAAGCTCCCGGTCCCCGCGGGCGAGCCGGGCAAATGCCGGGAGTCTGAATGGATCGGGTGGCATGTGCGCAAAACGGACTTGTTATTCGCATCCTAAACCTGCAGAGATTGCGAACTGGTCCCTTCTCGCTGGGCTTCAGTTTCCTCGTTCGGTAGGGGCGTTGGGAGAAAGCAACTCAGGTTTTTGTGCCCTCAAATTCTAATTCTGTGGTTCTGAAACTTCCTTGCGTAAGAATTGGGAAAGGGGAGAAGGGATTTTGACAGTACAGATGCCTGATTCCTCCCATTCTGACCCAGCAGGTCTGAACCGGGGCCCAGGAATTTGCTGTACGTCCACGATGGTGATGTCCTGGAGAACACGTGGAGAAACACTGTAATCTTTCCAAATAAGGCGTCACATCCCGGAGGACAAAAAAACAACAAAACCAAAGCAAAGCAAGAACAAAACCATCAGTAGCTCCATTCATTCATTCATTTATTCATTCAATAAATATGTCTTAGGTCCCTCCTATGTGTCAGGCATGGTTTAAAGTCTGAGGATACAGATTTACACAAAACAAACTCTTTGCCTTTTACAGAGGTGACATTTTGGTTGAGGTCCTACTGGTGTCTGGCACCACTTTACTGATCTTTTGTGCTCCTCACTGAGGTCGTGGGTGAGTACCCCTGATTTCCAGATAAGAGCTCTGGCCTTTAGTCTTACAAGTGGTGTACGGGGGCACCTTTCCACCCATCCCTAGAATCAAATGCAAGTTTCTCTCCCTCTCTCCTCACAGTCACACCTTGGACAGCTGCAGACCCCCCTGACTTGTATACATACCTCCCACCTTTAACCCAGGCAGGTTCTTCTGCTTGGAATGTCAATCTCCTGCCCCCCACCCCCATCACACACACACACACACACACACACACACACACACACACACACACACACACAGGCTATCTTCCCTCTTGCCTTCCTTCCTTCAGGAAACCTTAGATTGTCCAGTCTGACACGTCTTCCTCCTCAGAGACGCTGGGAAGAGTTACTGAGCTGATGATGTCTGAGGTCCCTGTGTCACTCATGCCCCCTTCCCAGCTCTATCCTGGGGACTGGCCAAGACTGCATCCACTTGGCCTGGACAATAACTTTCTCTTCAGCTCTAATGGCAGCTCACGTGCCAGAGAGAGTGCAGGGAGTGGAGTGGAAAGGCTTCAAGGTACTTTCTGGCTCCATTTTCCTTCCTTTCTTGAAGATGCCTCCCAGCCCTGCCATGTGCTTTACCGACTTCCTTGACCCAGGCCAGCATGGGGGGTGGGGCTGGAGGGTGTCCCTTGGCTCCTGGGAGAGCAGCCCCTGAAGTCTTCAGGCTCCAGTGTCTGAAGAAAAGTCTGTTCCCACACCTGGCCCCCCCTACCCCTTCGTTTGACCATGACCTTGGCCAGGCTGGGCTTTACTGAGGCGGAGAAGGAGGTTGCACAGCCCCCTCTCCACAGGGCCAGTCCCACATGCAGCCCCAGGCCAGGCTGCTGCTTCCTGAGCCATGAATTATGACCGGGAGATTTCCTTCCCTGTCTGCGCCTCCTTACAGGGGCTCCGGCTCCCTTCACTTTCGCTTTCTCCCCCTTGGCCCCCTCTCTTCAGTTCTTCGCCTTCAGGTGGCTTGAAATTCCTCTGTCCAGCCCCCTCTCTTTCCAGCTTGATGGGAGAAGCCAAACAGGGCGTGAACTTGGCCCTGAAGGAAGGCGGGAGGGGGCAGACTTGGTAGGCTCATTCATTCATTTGCTCCACCAGCAGGTTTTGACACATGGGACCCTGGGAGTAAAATAAAATCATGAATGAGACTGAGCCTGGCCTGCTGCAGCCCAGAGGGGAAGGCAAGTTGTAAACAAAGAATTTCAGGACAATGTGGTTGGAGCAAGCCAGGGTCTGGCATCAGAGAGACGGTTCCGGCCCAAGGCTAACTGCTTCTTGAAGTCTCAGTTTCCTGCTCTGAAAACTGAAAAATGGTACCCATAAGTTGGGCTGGCGATGGCTCCCTGAGTTTCTGCCAAAAACGCCAGGGCCTGACCTTCACAAGCGCTCACGGTCTGAGAGGAGCTTGTGGTGGTGTGAGGGCGGCTGAGGGGCAGCTTTGACTCTGTGCTAGGCTTTGTTCGTGGGAGTGGGGTGGGGGTCCTGTCACATTCTCAGCTCACCCACACAGGAGGCTTCAGCTCCTGTCCTCTGCTCCAGGCACAATGGCCTCCTCCCTGACCCTGAAGCTCACCTCTGCCTGGCATGCCCTTTTTCCAGATAACTCCATATCTTATTCCCTTTTTTCCAGTCTTCCCTCCAATCTCGTCTCCTCGGGAGGCCTTCCCTGACCACTGGGACTAAAACAGCAACTGTCCCTTCCGTCTCCCAGCACCCTGCCTACGGCTCTCCTTCGCCCCTTTACCCCGCTTTACTTCTTTCTAGAGCGTTTTTTCACTGCTTTCACTCATTCATTCACACCTATTAATTGAGCACCTACTATTTCCCCAGCACAGTTCTCGGTTCTGGGACTATGGAAGTGAACATACTACAGATTTATTTGTTCACTAGAATGCAAGCTTCACGGGGCAGGGGCTTTGTATTTTGCTCATCTTACTCCCTTCCCATTACAATCTTCTGAGGTAGGTATTGTTTTTATGCCCATTTTACAGATGAAGAAACTGAGGTTCCGAAAGGGAAAAGTGACTTGCCTGAGGTCACACAGTGGGCCAGTGGAGGAGCTCAGGTCAGTTGGTCTCCTTCCCCAACCCCATGACCTCTCAGGCAGCCCAGAGGTGTGTGAGGGCTGAGTAGGAGTCCATCAGGGAAGAGGAGGACCTGCCTTTCTAACCAGGGCACCCTGGGTTTCAGTCCCGCTGAAATATTTGGAGTTCCTCTGAGGCAGTGGTTCTCAACCTTCTGGCCCTTTAAATACAATTTCTCATGTTGTGACCCAACCATAAAATTATTTTCATTGCTACTTCATAACTGTAATGTTGCTACTGTTATGACTCGTAATGTAAATATCTGATATGCAGGATGGTCTTAGGCGACCCCTGTGAAAGGGTCGTTCGACTGCCAAAGGGGTCGCGACCCACAGGTTGAGAACCGCTGCTCTGAGGCATCAGCTTTGCACATCACTGAGCCTTTGCCCAGGTGTCCTCCCTGCCTGCAGTGCCTGTCCCTTCAGGTCTGACCAGACAACCCTACTCAGCCAAAGTTCAGTGCCGCTTGTCTTCTCCAACTTTGGTGCAGTCTCGTAGTGTTGATCTCATTGTATTTTGACTTCTCTCCCCTCATCCCTGATTCCCCACTTCCATTTTCTATCCCCTACAGGGTACCCACTCCAATGTTTTTACTACTTTGTTTTTTTAGAGCTGCTTGGTTTACAACACAATTGAGAAGGTACAGAGATGTCCTACATGCCTCCTGCCCCCACACATGAATAGCCTCTCCGGTATTAACATCACTCACTCACCAGAGTGATACATATATTACAACTAGAGGCCTGATGCACGAGATTTGTGTACTGGGCGGGGGGAGGGGGGATCCCTCAGCCCAGCCCTCTCGAAGTCCGGGAGCCCTCCGGGGATGTCCAACTGCCAGCTTAGGCCTGCTCCCAGACATCCTTAGCGCTGCTGTGGAGGTGGGAGAGGCTCCTGCCACCACCACTGTGCTCGCCAGCCAGGAGCCTGGCTTCTGGCTGAGCAGCGCTCCCTCTGTGGGAGCACACTGACCACCAGGGGGCAGCTCCTGCATTGAGCATCTGACCCCTGGTGGTCAGTGCACAGGATAGCAACTGGTCATTCTGCTGTTAGGTCAATTTGCATATTAGCCTTTTATTATATAGGATTGATGAACCTACATTGACACATCATTATCACCCAGAATCCATAGTTTGCATTATGGTTCACTCTAGATATTGTACATCCTATGGGTTTGGACAAATGTATTCTGACATATACCCATCAAATACCCTAAAAGTCCTCTGTGCTCTGCCTGTTTACGTACCCCCATCCCTGCAACCACTGATCGTTTTGTCTCCATAGTCTTGCCTTTTCCAGAATATCCTAGAGTTAAAATCATAGTGTGGAGCCTTTTCAGATTGACTTCTTTCACTTAGTAATATGTATTTAAGCTTCCTTTATGTCTTTTCAGAGCTTGATAGCTCATTTATTTTTGGTGCTAAGTAATATTCCATTGACTGGATGTACCACAATTTATTAATCCATTCACCTACTGGATCGTAGCTTTGTTGCTTCCAAGTTTTGACAATTATGAATAAGGCTGCAGTAAACGTCTGTATGCAGGTTTTTGTGTGGACATAACTCCTTTGGCATGTGATTGCTAGATCATGTGATAAGAATATGTTTAGTTTTATTTATTTTATTTTATTTGTTTTGTTTGTGAATCCTCACCTGAGGATATTTTTTCCATTGATTTCTTTAGAGAGAGTGGAAGACAGGGGGAGACACAGAGAGAAACATCGATGTGAGAGAGACACATTGATTGGTTGCCTCCCTCATGTGCCCTGACTGGGGCTGGGTTTTGAGCCTGCAACCGAGGTATGTGCCCTTGACCAGAATTGAACCCCGGACCCTTCAGTCCACGGGCCAACACTCTATCCACTGAGCCACAATGGCTAGGGCAGGGTATGTTTCATTTTTAAGAAATCACAAATTGTCTTCTAAAGTGGCTGTACCATTTCACATTCCCGCCAGCAATAGATGAGAGCTCCTGTTGCTCCACATCCTCGCTGGGGTTTGTTGTCGTCATGTTCCGGATTTTGGCCATTCTAACAGGTGTGTGGTGGTATCTCTCCTTAATTTGCATTTCCCTGATGATGTATGATGTGGAGCATCTTTTTAAATGCTTATTTGCCATCTGTATATCTCCTTTGGTGAGGTGTCTGTTAAGGTCTCTGGCTTATTTTATAATTGGGTTGTTTGTTTTCTTATTGTTGCATTTTAAGTGTTCTTTGATTATTTTGGATAACAGTCCTTTACCAGATGTGTCTTTTGCAAATATATTCTCCTAATCTGTGGCTTGCCTTCTAATTCTCTTTATTTTTGTTTAAACATATTTTTATTGATATATATATATATATATATATATATATATATATATATATTAATTGATTTCAGAGAGGGAGAAGGAGAAAGAGAAACATCAACGATGAGAGAGAATCATTGATCGGCTGCCTCCTGCACGCCCCACACTGGGGACTGAGCCTGCAACCTTGGCATGTGCCCCAACTGGGAATCGAACCGTGACCTCCTGGTTCATAGGTCATTGCTCAACCACTGAGCCATGCTGTCTGGGCCTAATTCTCTTTATATTGTCTTATGCAGAACAGAGGTTTTAAATTTTAGTGAAGTCCAGCTTATCAATTATTTCTTTCATGGGTCATGTTTTTGATGTACCTTAAAAGTCAAAACCATAGTTTCTCTCCTATGTTATCTTTCAGGAATATTATAGTTTTGCGTTTTACATTTAGGTCTATGACCCATTCT